GCATGAGCTGCCTTGCTTCATTTTCTGTCACTCTTGGTTCCACATTCTCTACATCATTTTTGTTTCTTCTGTGTCTTACATGTAACCTCTAAGTGTAGCGCTAACTGAGGCTTAAATTGCCCATCCCTTGCTCTCCTTCTTGACATTTCCCTTGACTTCAGGTTGACCTCTATCCCTGTAACCTGAGTGATGCTAACCCTTTGACTTCTCTCTGGAGCTCATCTCTCCATTACCGTCTAACATCAGATCCCCTTCTGTTACCTCACATGAGGACTAAAACTGAATCCCTTACCCTGCCCAAAAGTACTTTAAAAAATTAAATGCAAACTGTCTACTAACTCTTTCATCAGATGGCTTCATGAGGAGACAGACTCAGGAACTATTAGCCAAATTTCTGTATTCAAAATATTCAAAGCTCAGGTAAATTGGTTTACTCAATTGGCTCATCCAAGACACAGTGGCACCAAGACGTGAACATAAAACTGACGCAAACATGTGTTTCTGTACATTATAGTGTCTGATTAGATGGGATAATCACAGTTTTCCTCAAAATGATCTTTGAAAATGCAAGTAGTATTTTAGATTTTTTTTATAACTGTTATAACCAAATCCTATTTTTTTACATACTAAGCCAGTATCTGTGAAGATATCTACCTCATTTCTGGACTGTAAGCTTCTAAAAGCAAGGAATATGCTCTAGGCTTCCTTTTATTAGGAAGATATAATCCCTTGGTAAGGACTCAATAAAATGTCTTAAGTAAAATAATCAATGAACAATTATATATTTTGAATATTTTATTATGTTAATATGACAATCATATTTATAATGTGAGTTGAAAGCTACAGATGAATTTATACACAACAGCTCAAATTTTACACTAACATGACATTCAGGTTTAGTTTCTTGGAATGAAAAACAGAGACTAGAGGTAAAATATTGTCTTAGTCACTACCTCATTATTGAGACAAAGTACTGAACACCTCAATATAAAGGACATCTTTTTATTTTATTTATTTCTAATTTTTGAGACAAGGTTTCATTATGCAATTCAGGCTGAACTTGAACTCACTTTGTAGCCCAAGCTGGCCTCAAACTCACAGCAATCCTCCTGCCTCTGCTTCCCAAGTGCTGGGATTACAGCTATATACCACTTGTCTGGCAAGAAATGTTTATTTTGGCTCATAATTTGTAGAGGTTTCAATTCATAGCTAGATTCAAGGCAAGGCAGTAGGGCAGAAAGGCATGCTGGAGAAGTTGCTTACTTCATGGTGACCAGAAAGCAGGGTGAGAAAATGTAGGGAAGAATGGGAAGGAAGATAAACCCTTCCAGGGCACAGCCTCCTGGAGCTGCCCCTTCTGACCAGGCCTAACCACCTAGTACCACATTCAGCTATAATGCTCCCATAATCCAGTTACCTTTCAAAGGCTTCATCTATGAGCTAAGGAGGCTCTTGGGGGACTAGATGTAAACTACCACAAATGTGCTTGCATTTTATTAAAAATTATGATGTTTCAAATGTCCTACTCTTTTCAATCCAAAGCTATTGTGCCCATCTCTATCTAGGTTGTTTTTTTAATTAATTGATTAATTTACTTTTTGTGATACTGGGGATTAAACTTGGGTATCTTTCATTTGCCAGGAAGGTGCTTGAACTGCATCCCTAGCCCCTGGATTATGTTTTATATTTATTTATTTATATTTTATATTTTAGGGGAGGATCTACAGGGTATTCAGGGTCTTGCTACTAGATCAGACTTGTAGTGATCCACCTGTGTACAGCCTCCCAAGTGCTGGGATTACAGGTACTCGCCACCACCCATCCCAATTGCTGGCTCAGCACACCCTGGGGGCCGGGCCAGCATGGCAGGCCTGGGGATCAAACTCTTGGCCCCTGTGCCTGATTGCAAGCACTTTAATCCACTGAGCTATTTGGCCAACCCTTGGATTATGTTTTAGAATCCATGGGATCTCAAATGAACATGGGGAAATAGCCCTTCTTGCATTTCTAACAAATCCAAAGTGCCCCTAGGAAATATCCTTATACTTTCAGAATTTTTTGGGGGGGATTTGCTCAGGAATCTGTTCAAATTTCTGACTTGCTGGAGCTGGTTACACTGTTCTGCTATCAGTACAGATCAGCAAATCTGCTGTGGCTATGTAGCAATATGCATAGGTGTGTGTGTGAATAGATGCATCCCTGGAACTCTTCTGAATCTGTAGTTGCTAATTTATGCATCACTTGGGCATATTTTCTTCCCCCAGCATCACCAAGAAGCTGCTTTCTGATCGAGTGTGCCTTGGGGCTTTTCTATACATAGCAATTCCCAGCGCTGTGGCTGGATGCGTGACACAGAGCTGCTCTACCTAGGAAAGTCAGTGAGGCCATTTGACTGCTTCTGACTATAGAGGTACTTGAATCTGCAGAACAATCCTAAAATTATCCATTTGCAATTCTTAAGAGATATCTGCTTTCTGTGATTTTTTTATGCTAATCTGTGCTATCACCTTGTTACTGAAATGTTCCCTGATGCTGTTCATCACATTTCTAAATACATTTCTTATTGCTCAATCAGTAAGGACTTAGAACTGTCTGAGAAGCCATTAGCTGTAAATACCATTATTTTGAACAATACCATTATTTTGACAAATTGAAAAATGATGTGCCAGTTAGTTGAGCATCAGGGACTTCTGAATAAATTCAATGTATTGATACAGGGAAGTAAAACTCCTGACCTGACCTGGATGAGTTCATGTTCTCTAAAACCGAAGAATGAATTTTAGGAACAAATGGAGGTTGAGTAGAATATTTTAATGGGAAAGAAAGCTTCTGTCTCAGAGAGGACAGAAGGGGGACCCAAGTGGGTTGCCCAGGAAGCTGTCTCTTTCAGTTTATTTTTATAGAGCAAAACCATGTGGGATTAAGGTAGAGAGGAAGGGGTCTCACTTAGGTGGATGTGGGGTGGGATGAAACTATGGTCAACCAAAGGGATTTGCAAGCACCATTGCTCAGGTAAAGTTGATTATGCCCAGGGCCAAATGGGGGAGCAAGTCACAGAGTAAGTGGGCATGAAAACGGGACAGGGTCTCTTCCCATTGGGGGGTGGTCTGGTGACTCACTTGGGTCTTTTCAGGTGATCGATACCTATTTAGAATATCAATCTCAGGTGCTACTCGTTTAGCATTTGTTTGGCCTTTAGGTCTTTTAGGTCTGGCTCACAGCAGGAGCATCCGTCCCTCTCACAGTTGAAAGGTAATTTGTCTTTCGTGCTGTCTCCTTCAAGAGCCTGGCCCTGTCTGACTGCCTATTAATATTTCTATCTAATTTGGCTATCTATGACAGTATCATGTAAGTCGCAGTGCTTTTACGGTTAGGATAAATTCATTACAGAATAATCTACTCAGCTCTTCCTGGCATCTGAGTTTTGACAGTCAAGACTGAACGAAAAGATTCTACTATGCCTGAATTTATCTTTCCCAGCTTAGCTACTAGTGGTAATCTGTACTTTTGTGAGGTATGGTTTCAGCTTCAGTCTCTGGAAAACAGATGGGAGGATGGCCCACACAGATTCTCTCTGTGATGGAAGATCCAATCAGTTATGCATATAGTTTACGAGGGTGAAGTTTATAAACAAAACTCAGATTATTTCTCATGCTGCAACATATATCTTGATATGATACAACTTTAATAATTATCTTTAGTTCTCTACTATGCAGCACTGAGCTTTGTCTGGAGAGGTAAGCATATGGGCATCATGATTCCTTTGGCAGACAATTTGCACAAATAGCAACACATTATTCTTTGAACCTTTTATGTGCATTGAAAGCAAGACTTAGTGGAGCCTTTTATTTAGGTCTTCAACTGTTTTTATTCCAATTGCATTCTGTATGGTGATATTGAAGCATGGTGAGAAATTGTACCCTACAGCCCTATTTCATGTGTTATCACTGTTAATCTAAGTTCCATGGTAAAAGGACAATGCTGAGCATATTACTTAGCTCAGAGTCAGTGTTGATACATTTTACAAATGATTGAATCACAACTGAATTGCTGTCGTGAGCCCAAGTAATTAGTCATCAATAAAGTTTGTATTCCAAATGTTACAATAATTATATCTGCATGCTTCATCTTATTTTTTTTTTTTTTTTAGAAAAAACTCATTTTTAAGCTCTGTGTGTGCATGTGTGCATGTACAGGTGTGTGTGTGTGTGTGTGTGTGTGTGTGTGTGTGTGTATTTTTCCATTTTTCTTATTTGGTCTGTCTTCATCTTTATTCTCTCTGAGCCTGTTGCCTTGGTTACCATTACATACACGCTGATGTGTGAAGTTCTCTGACGTACATTTATTTCTATGGAAACAATGACGTTATTGGTATGGGTAGGTGCTTGAGGAAAACAAAGTGAAAAAGCATTTAATATTGATGGTTTTTTGGTTCACAAAATATATCACTAATTTCTGAGTTAGAGCTCTGTATCTTTTATCTTGATTTAATTGTCAAGCTTCATTTTTTCCTAGTTTATGTACTTGCCTGAATAAAATGAACTAAAAGTAGGAAATTCATTTTATAGGTCCTTGTTATGATGTGCAGTAGCTTAAAGTTACCACAAATCCACATAAAAATTAAAGCTACTATTTTTAATCTTAAAAATCTTCCAGAGACTGACAAATGTATCTTAATAAAATTTGCTGTTGTCAAAATATTGTGCATGTATTTTGTACTCACATCAAGCCCATAAGCAATGTACAGATGATGAATAAAAAAAACGAAGGCTATATTAGTGGTTATTATCATAAAAATCTCTAGATTTAGAAACATAGAGGTACAACAAGGAACTGATAGGTATTAAAACATCTTCTTAACCATATTAAATAGGTACATATCTAATGAACATTTCATTTGTTTTTATATCTATAGAGACTTTTAAATCTTTTTTTCAGCATTTGCCTTTCCCTGTGCTCTATGTCACACCTCTCCAGTTTCATTTCCTTTTTCTTTATAGATGATGTGGAAGCCTGCCTATGATTTTCTCTATACTTGGAGTGCCCACTATGGAGATAGCTACAGAGATGTGCTACAAGACCTTCAATCTGCTTTGGACAGAATGAAGAATCCAGTGACCAAACAGTGGAGAGACTTAAGTGGAGCTTTACTACTAGTGAACTCTCTGGAGTTTTTGAGAGCAACAGCATTCTCTATTCCTGAGGAAGTATAAAAATGTGCAGTATTTACTGGAGTCAAGGAGAATGGTAGTAATAAAAATGTGTGTGTGTGTGTGTGTGTGTGTGTGTAAATTTCAAAGGCATTCACTAGTTTGGTTTGTTGAGGGGAAAAAAATCCTCTTCTCTCTTTGAAAGATATTTTCAGTTTTTTTCAAGTTAAAATAATGTTGCTCGAGTAAGTCCCCCATACAGACACAAAGATAATGTAAGGGCTGGGTCAAGTGGAATTTTACCAGGAGAGGAGGAGCACACACTGGGAGGCCACTCAGGCTACACACTTTCTGTAACTGGTCTTATTCCTGGCTTGTGTTTGCCAGCATTATTTCCATGTCAGATGTGGAAAAACCAAGGAATAAAGAGGATACCTGAGGCTAGTGTAAAGTAGGTTTTTTAGTTGAAAAATCTGCTTCTGTCTTTTAAACATTTACGCATGTCAGAATAGGAAAAATAAGAAGAAAAAATAAATATTTACAGCTCACATCAGTAGCTATTACATTTTAATTAAAGCTTGCTCTTCTTTTTACCATCTCTTGGAAGAGTACCAGAAGGAAAATGAGATTTTTCTTCAGATATCTGTTGTCTGAATGGGTGGACCCAAGGTTTTCACCAGCTTCTTTCAGCATCTTGGGATGAATCTAATACTGCTTAACTCAAATTTTTTTTTCTGCAGATTCATAATGTGAAGTAGTCTTTATCTCTCAGGAACTTTTAATAACATACATTATTATAAACATATCCACCTAAAACCTGATTTGTTCCTGTTCGGGATAGCAGGTTTAACCCTTAAAAATACTGTTATTTGTTTGTGTCTGTGTTTTCATATATAAGTGTGTGTGTGTGTGTAATAGTGTGTGTGTGTGTGTGTGTGTGTGTGCGTGCGTGCGTGCACATACCAGAATGTTTTATTATGCTCTTGGAAAACATAGATAAACCAGAATTTGAGCCAGTATAAATACTAATAGATCACAGAGTTCACAAAAAGATGATCTGTGCTCACACATACGTTCAGTGTTCTGGTGGCTGCCAGTGCTTATGTGTTTTGACTGCCATTCGTCTGTTGTTACTCAGTTGACAAAGAATGTGTGCTATTTTGTGGCAGGCATATAGGCACTTGAGGATAATAGTGGGAAACATATGATCCCTGGCTTCAGGACTGCTGAATGATCCAGGCAGACAATAAAAAGTGATTCCATTAAATGTACAATGGCCTCTGTCACAACAGCTACAATGGAGAGGCTATGGTGCTAAGAGTTACAGGGTATCTATAGGTACCATCCTCTGAATGGGACAGGGTAAGTTTACCTTGGGAAGGAAACTAAGACCATGCAGGGGGGTCAGGCAGCCCCTGATGTGAAGAGGGTACTGGAATTTAGTGATGCCTTCTGGCAGGAGGGAGCTTTGTGCAGTAGAGCCAGGGTAAAGGGGTGAAGGGGTGAGGGCAAAGAGCTAAAGTCAAGGTGGGAGTGAAGGGAGGGGGCAGATGATATATCAGGGCCACTAAGTCCTCTAGAATTTAGGGGAAAAAAAGACTGGGCCTTACAGGTAATGTGGATGAGCTGAATAAGGATTTTGTTTCAGCATCCTGAATAAAACATGTCCATTTGGCTAAAGAAGTAAAGGCAGAATCTTATGGTTTTTAATACACCCTCATTTTAAACCCACCCTGGGGTTTTTGGTATGCCAGCAAAGGTAATTTGAATCAGAGTTTAAGAACAATCTTTAAGGCTTTCAATATTTATATTTGATGATATGAGGACACAACCCTACCAAGGAATGATACACACACATTCAAGAGCAGAATTTATTTTAACTGAAAATAAATTCAGGGAGAAAGGAAAAAGAAAACAATTAGTAAGTTCAGAACACACTCCTTTGTAGAGTGATTTTGCTTCTTTAGAACATTCTTAGAAGATTTTTACATGTCAAGAAATGGGCCCATTTGGGGACTGCACAGTATAGAAGCAATAACTGGGTTTTCCCTGGCTACAAGATCTGAGAAGAAAGAGACCTTGGATAACTGTTTAGTGTAGTAAGATTAAGTAAATAATTTCAGGCTTATGCCTCATTGTGTTTTGAGACTGTGGTTGGGAATTTTAAGAAGAGTTTTAAAAAATGAAAAACATGAGCTCTGTAATTTAAGTATGAAACAATGGTTTAATTATTAATGTACACAAAGATATTTTATAATCTCATAACAAATCCTTCTAGGGGAATTTTAAAGCCATGTCCAAACATTCTGTTTTTGTAAATTTATTCTAATATGTTTTATAAATTGTTACTACTTCTGTGGATTTTATATTTTTCTTACTACAATGGATTTTTGCAATCTGAAAAGATTAACTTGGTAATCATGAATCGCCTGTATTTGACAGAAAGCCAATGGAATTAATGAGGAACTTGCACTCTGTCCTTGACATCATTAAAAGTATCAAAAGCTATTAATCCAAAATTTCTTTAAGCATTTCAAAAATGGGGAAAGCTTAGATGATTCTTTCAGTTCCTCAGGCTTTTCATGTAATAATGTATGAATTACGATAAGATTTTAGTTCAGCCCCTAGCTTGCAGTGTGGCCCTTTTTCTATAAGCCACAGATCCACTCCATCCTTGGGTGAAAGGCTTCATAGGCAGCAATAGGAGTCATTCAGCTCTACCTCCCTGACAGTTCCTGCCAACAATGGATGCACCACAATTCATGTCCTAAATTGTAGAAAATACTTCTAGAAACTTTGTACGTGGAGATACTTGAGTTTCTCAAAGACATAAAGTGCTAAATCAATGGATGAAGTGGGGTTGAAAATTTTTTCCTAGTAAGTAACTTTGTTATATGAACATACAATAGAGAAAAATAGATTTAACTTGTACAATGCCAAAATTGGGACTTTTATAATGTAATTTCCATATGGTGCTACTTTAATCATACTTTGGCAATATTTTAATGTCTAAGGAACAACTGAGATAATGTAAAAGGAAAATAATGAAAAATTATATCACTGGAGGCTTTT